GATTTTTCTCAATTAAAGCTAGCACCTTCTTATCGACGCTGGCATCCCTTGGACCTTTTTTTCTGCCAGTTTTTGGCAAATCTTTTAGAGAACATGTCTTCCCAAATTTGATAATAATATTCTTAACACTATTAACGCTTACTTTATAGCGTTTGGCTAAGTTTCGGTACGAAACACCGTTTTTTTTGCAGTAATTGTGCACAATTTTTTGACGGACGTGTTTTTCAATACGAGGCATTGCGAAATGTGCAAAACAAATAGTGAAAAGAGAACATGCAAACAACGCAGAATTAATAGAGCTTTCTAACGGTGCACCGCATGGCATGATCGAAAGCTCCCACTGAGAGCTTTTCACAATTGAAAGTGTGCAGTTTCTTTTCGGTACATTCCTTACATATAACCCACATCATTATTAGCGTAAAAAAATGCTTGCAACTGTTCAAAAACTCGTCTCTTTAACTGTTGTGTTCTCTGTATATTGCACCGCACATTCAGCTGATCCACCATCAACGATATTAAATATATTTGAAGAAATTGATGCGATTCCATTGAACCATACAAATGATATATTTTTCCTTGTATCTGGAATTGCAAACAATAATTTTCTTAAGAATACGGCGTAACTTTTACCTTGAAAGTCGGCTTGACGCCGCCTTCTCGAATCAAATTAGCTACAAGGGAAGTCATGCGAAAGCAGGTTTTGTACTCAGAGATGTGTTGTGGAAAAGGGCTGAAATCGGGATCACTTCCATCGAACAATGGTTTCGGTGGATGGATCCAGTTTGACTTTTCCACGTGCGTAGCCCAGTAGCAGTTTTTCTTTTGAACATTAACGCTTTGCAATATGGACATATAGTCGTCATTGGTCCAATATCTAAATATTCATAATCACTGTAGTTCGCAGTGGGATCATATTGGAATGCCAAGCGATTGTTTGATGCCAATGATCTTTGTGTATTCACGCGCTGTTTCTCTTATTATATTTTCTCTTTCTTCGCTTAAGTTCTCTGAATACACATGTTGCTGGCTTACATGTCTTGTGCTGCGGCCGATGTTCGTACGTCGTCCTTTTGGCATTTTGTACTATGGACAGAGTGATGGATTTAACCCCAAATGCACGATCCACATAATTTACACAACTTTCAACTTACCACCTTAAAGACAAATGCCTTGTTTCCAATTAGTCATCTTAAAATATTGTTTTGTAGTAGTACTTGCTATATATCAGAGATGGATTTCCCGCTTTCCTGTTGAAATTTTTCCTGAATTTTCTTTGCTCTAAAGCTCCAACGAATGCACTACCGTGGAAATCGGTTCGTGCGTTCTGGAGTAAAATCGTCACGAAGAAAACCCCGAATGATTTTTATATAGTATATTAACATTTATTTAATTTAAATAAAATAAAATAAATGTAAATATATAATATAATCAATGACTAAATCGGTCTTTGCCAGCCGGCTCAAGAGCGCTCTCTCATTGGCTTTTAACCGAAAGCCAGCACGAAAAAGTTGTGTGCAAAAAAATTTTATGACGTTACGTATCTTCAACACTGTATTGTTTTTGACATTACTCTGTTAGGCCTTATTCGAAGAATAAATACCATTTGAGGATACCAATGTGGAATAAAGAACTAATGGTAACGAGTGGCGTTTGCTCGGCGTAGACTTTGATTTCTAATTAAAACTTATATTTTTTAAGTTATACATCAGTTCAGTTTAATTCAAAGAACAATTCCATTTCCACCTAATATCTTAGTTTAAGTGAATTTTTATTTAACTAAGAGTTTAAAGAAATAAAAATATGGTTTCGACATACATATGGATTCACAATGCAATTGCGATCTGCAAGGGTATACGAATTTCGGGGTGCCAAAGTTAGCTTCCTTTCGTGTTGTGTAATAACTCCTATTTTCTCTGATCTAACTTACTAATGCGACTTGCCAATTAGACACATATTTCAAAATCCTTTTTCTATACTGAACTTTAGTAAACTTGATGTAAATTGTTCAAAATATAATAACAAAATAGTTTGCTAGAAACATTTTTATTTTGGGTGTTAATTTTGATAGGGAGTTGTTGGAACGATAAAATATATTAAAATATTATAAAAAGAAGGGAAAAATTCGTTTTTGCGAATCACCAAATTCGTTCAAAACTAAATTTTTACAGTTGGTTTTCTATATACCCTCACTCGTAAATAAGTCGAAATGAACCGCATCGGATGACTATATAATATATCTGCAATAGGAGCCTGGGGGATCAAGCAATACGAAAAAAAAAATGATTTTGGGTTTTTTTCCTGACGGCACAGTTAAAATATATTAACTCAACAAATGGTTCATTAAAGTATGACATTCGAAGAATGTCATCAAACTTTTACATAGAAATAATACAAAAATGAATAAAACAAGAAAGGAAGCTAACTTCGGCACGCCGAAGTTTATATACCCTTGCAGATAGAACTTCTATGAATAGGAATCCATACAATATAAATTATATATATTTGTGTTAAAAAATATTGAAGTAATACCTGCTTTCATTTCATTCACCTATACATATTATATTTGCAGTTTTACATTCACAGATTTGCATTTTTCCTTTACATCAAACGATCGTTTGTATGGTATGATATAGTCGTCCGATTTTCATAAAATTTGACACAAAATTTAAGACTAATATAAAATGGCTATACCTCAAATTTGATGAAATTCTGTTGAAAACCGAAAAAGTTATAATTTTTAATTGTATTAATTTCTCGATCGTTTCTATGGGAGCTATATAATATAGTAGTCCGATTCTTATAAAATTGTATGCAAAATTGTAGAGTAAAGTAAAATGGCTATATTTCAAATTTGATCCAATTCTATTAAAAACTGAAAAAGTAAAATTAAAAAAAAAAAAAAAAATTCCAATCATTCCTATGGCAGCTATATGATATAGTCGTCCGATCCGGCCCGTTCCGACATATATACGAGTGAGAGTATATAGAAGACTAACTACAAAGTTTCATTCAGATAGCTTCAAAACTGAGAGACTAGTTTGCGTAGAAACGGACAGACGGACATGGCTAGATCGACTCGGCTGTTGATCTTGATCAAGAATATATATACTTTATAAGGTCGGAGGTGCCTCCTTTACTGCATTGCAAACTTCTGACTGAAATTATAATACCCTGCAAGGGTATATAAATATGCAAAAAAAAACTGGACAGCGTTACCTTGTAAAATATTTAGAGAAATACACTCCTGTTCATAATTATACGACACCTATAAAGTTTTTGTTTCAGCGGTCGTAGGAGAATGGAAACACACAGTAGATCAAAATAAAGTATGCCGAATAATAGCACAAAGAGTTGTGCACAAAATGCGCTATTCTTATCCTTGTTTGCATCACTCGTTTTCAAGTAACGATAAAAAAAGGAAACGCGCCTTGATTTAGGCTATGCTGCAATTGTTTCAAAACGATACGACACATTTCATTATTTTTGTTTACAGCTAATATTTTATTTGTTTAATTGTTAATAAATTAATATTAATAGTTAATAACGGCGCCTTGTGCTTTTCCCACTTCAAAAATTCTTTTAGGCATTGAATTTATAAGGTTTTTTAAGATATTTTGGTCCGGGAGAGACCATTGTCTTAAAATTTCATTTTTGAGATTTTCATCCGTCTCAAATTTATTGTTGGCGTAAACTCGCCTGGCTAAGATACCCCAGATGTTTTTAATCGGGTTAAGGTTAGGAGAGCAAGCAGGCCAATTCAAAACATTTATTTTATTGTCATTGAGGAACCGTTGTGTCTCTTTGCTTTTATGTATGGTCGCCTTATCCTGCATAAAAACTAAATTTTGGTCCTTATTTTGATCCGAAAATGGCAGAAGACAATCTTGTAACACATTTTTGTAGTCTGCACTTTTAATTTTTGAGCTTGTAAAGCACAATTCAAGCGTACCAGACGCATGAAAGGCTCCCCAAGCCATAACTGATCCGCCTCCAAAATTGCATGTTAGCAACATAAGGGGATCATTACCCAAATTAAGCCAATAGGGACGAAACCCATCTGGGCCATCAAGATGAAATTTTTTCTCATCAGAAATGTCAGAAATCAGTAATGTTCGTCAGATAGTCCTACGGGACACAGGACGACTGCAACACGCAGCAAGTGAGGCACACGATGAAAAATAATTGCTTGCATTGTTAAGTATTCGACGTTTGTCGCGATCTGATAGCTTCGACTTTCTTCCAGAGCTACGCCTGACACCGTACCCATCCACATTTTTCAAAAAGTTAGTAATAACACAGCGTGTTCGACCCATCAGTCGGGATATTTGGCTAACATTAAAGCCAGACTCGTTATACGCCTTAATTTTTCCCTTCACTCTTTCGCTTAATTAGCTACCATACGGCATTTTATTAAAAAAAATTATAAAAAAACTAAGCACTAAACCTTCCTCTTTAGCCGCAATAATTGGAATGTGTCGTATCATTTTGAAACACTTGTAGCGTGGCCTAAATTAAGGCGCGAGTCATTTTTTACCGTTACTTGAAAACGTGTGATGCAAACAAGGATAAGAATAGCGCATTTTGTGCACAACTCTTTGTGCTATTATTCGGCATACTTTTATTTCCATTCTCCTTTGACGGCTGAAACAAAAACTTTATAAGTGTCGTATAATTATGAACAGGAGTGTAGTTTTGAAGTTATGAGGGGCACCGACTGAAATTCAGTGTAAAACGAAAACCCGGCAGATATAAAAATACTCCTAACTTCGCCAATTTTGCTTTTATTGATTTAAAACTTTACAATGCATTACATTGATTATTGATTCATTATGCAAAATTATCTATACATCTATACATTACTTCGCAAATTCGTGTAAAAAAATATTATAAAGCAATCAATTATATACCTCATCTGTCCTTCATTAATGTAACCTCTTCTCTTCAATGAATGTTTAGTACATTGTATATACCATTTTTTTTTTTTTTTTTTTTTTTTTTAGAAATGCTTGTGGAGCTCTTCGAAACCTATCATACGGCAGACAAAACGATGAAAACAAGCGCGGAATAAAAAATGCTGGTGGAATAGAAGCTTTGGTTCATCTCCTTTGCCGGTCCCAAGAAACAGAAGTCAAGGAATTGGTAACTGGAGTTTTATGGAACATGTCTTCTTGTGAAGACCTAAAACGGTCAATTATTGATGAAGCTCTGGCTGCCATAGTATGCAGCGTTATAAAGCCACATTCTGGCTGGGATGCCGTTTGCTGTGGAGACACTTGTTTTTCAACAGTATTTCGAAATGCTTCAGGTGTACTGCGCAATGTAAGCTCAGCAGGAGAGCATGCAAGAGGTTCTCTGCGGAACTGCGACAATTTAGTTGAATGTCTGCTTTATGTTGTCCGAACAGCGATTGAAAAAAACAATATTGGAAACAAAACGGTAGAAAATGGTGTATGCATACTTCGTAATTTATCATACCGATGTCAAGAAGTTGAAGATCCCAATTACGACAAGCATCCTTTTATAACGACAGAACGAATACTCCCAACTTCATCCAAAGGTAAATCGGTTTTCAATGAATAGCTTAAACTTCATTCTATTTGTATTTTTTATTCATTTTTTTATGTACTACCGTGTAGTTATTTACTTCTGATCGAGGAGTTTAATTCGTGTTTGAATCGTTTGTAAAGAAAAAATATGGAAAACACATCTCTAACACATCGGCTGAAAAGTCCCGGGCCTAACATAAAAAACGCGTTTTTTTTTTGTTTAAAATTTACTTTATTTATCAAATTAATCTTTATCTAGAGCAAAGCAATCATTCTAGCGCCGCTCTTACATTTCATCCACTTTTGTAGAACGATTTTTCTTTTGCCTCAAAATAGGCCTCCATTTTCGTGATAACCTCTTCATTGGTGGAAAATTTCTTACCGGCGAGCATTTTTTTCAGGTCTGCGAACAGCCAGTAGTCCCTGGGATCCAAATCTTGAGAATATAGTGGATTTGGGAGCAATTCGAAGTTGTATTTATGTAGTCTGCCATTCTTTTGATTGACTTGTGACACGGTGCGTTGTCTTGATGTGAGCAATCGCGGCACCCATTTTGAGAAGAGCTTTATCATAGTCAAATGCTCATGCAATATAAATCTAAAAAATTCTTTTGATATCTTTACTATGTCAGCTAACTGACGCAACATGACTTTTTGATCATTTAAATCGATTTTGTGAATTTTTTTTTATGTTTTCAGGTGTTACCTCCTCATTTGGACGTACACTGCGTTCTACATCTTCAGTGTCTCTAAGACCATGTTTAAAGTCAGCAAACCAACGTTTTTTTTTTTTCTGATAGAGCGGAGTCCCCATAACACTTTTCAAGCCAATGTTTTCCTTGAATGGTATGTTTTCCCATCAAGAATCAGTGTTAAATCAAAACACAAAATTGTGTTTGATCCATTTTTTTGAAAATACAAAAAGTAGCGTCACTCATAACACAATAACTCACAAACTAATGAATAGAATATCATGAAATTTTAACAGCTGTCCTATGAAGATTGTATTAACTAAAAAAAAATTAAATGCAATAAAAAAATCGCGATTTATATGTTAGGCCCGGGACTTTTCAGCCGATGTGTTACAGTGTAGTCTTTTGAAGCTCATTTCTATTATTTTATTTAATTTTTTTTTTTTTCTAAGAAACTTTCCAAAAGGCTTGCTCCCAGTTATTATTCACACTGATTTGGGGACGGCATTTGACTGTGTTAACCGTTTTCTTGCAAAGAATACCGATTTAGGGAGGATTTCTTTTGGTTCAAACTATGAACATATAAATTAATGTGTTTGAATTCCCTAGTACTTCGTAAATACCACCGATGATGATGAGCACCACTCAACCATAGATCTTAGGATATCTAGTACCTCCCTGCTTGCCAGTACATTTTTTTGAACTGACCGCTGATGATTGCATGGATCTAATCGCCGCTTGACTGTCTACAATCAGGTTTACTGCCTCACATGGGCGGTCTACTTTCTGCGCAAGCACTGCCGCCTTCCTGATGGCGAAGACTTCCGCTTGGAATGTGCTGCAGTGGCTTATTAGCTTATAAGAAAGCCTTATCTCAGGGTCTGTGCAGTATATGCCCACTCCAACTCCTCCTTCCATCTTGGAGCCATCTGTGAATATGTTGCGGTGTTCAGCATGGTCGTGCGCCGTTTTCAAGTCTTCGGGTCCCGTGAATGTTGTTTGAACAAGTAAGTTATAGGTGTCATGATAGTCAGATATGCTGCTCATGTTTCGACCAATTGAACTGTGCGCGTATTCCTGTAGCGACATGTTTGCTACTAGGCGTTGTGCAGCCTTCACCGCAGTCAGTTGCGCGTATATGGAGAGGATCGACTCCGATATTTCCGCTTTTGACCTCAGCGCCCCAGATATGCAGAGCAGTGCTTGCCGCTGGGTTCTCTCCACATTTGACTGGTGTTTTCAGGGTCAGCCTGGTTGTATTAATTTTTGGGGGGATTCTCAGAGGTACCTTGCATCTCTTAGTGAAAAGAATTAGGTCCGTCTTGTCCGTTTTGATATTGAGTCGTACATTGTCCGTAAACTCAAATATCTCCCTGAGTGTTGACACCATTATCGAGCTCAGAGTCGATGGACAGACTCCAGTGATAATTATGCTTACGTAGTAAGCATGGGCTATTGTCTTCGGGGCCTTTCTCTCGAACCTTTTGATTAGGTCGTCGACCACTAGATTCAATAGGAGGAGCGATAGAACTCCTCCTTGCGGCGTGCATCTGTGCGCTCCTTTCACCATGGAAGCTGTGCCCCAATCTGATTGTACCCGCGTACAACTTAGTAGATTTCCTATCCAAGACACATACCCCGTGTTGGTCGCTCCTAGGCGGTCCATTATTACGTCTGTGCTTACATTGTTGACGACATGACATAAAAGGACTCCAAGCGCCTATTCCTTATTGTGCAGGGCTTTCAATTGTGGCTACTAATGAATGTAATGCCGTATCCACTGATTTCCCTTTTGTGTATGCATGCTTGTAAGTTGACAGTAGTTTTCCCACATAGTTTCTGATGTATAGGTCCAAAATGAGTTGAGGCTTATCGGCCTTGGGGTTAACGTGGCTGCTCTTTCCTGTTTTGGCAGGAAGACAATCCGAGAGGTCCTTCATTGGATTGAGATATAGCCCGTGCAATTGTGTGTAGATTGCGTGTAGCCATGGAGTAATGACAGCTTTGGTCGTCTGCAGCATGGCTGGAAATATTCGGTCTAGAACTGGTGCTTTTATGCCCGCGAAGAAATCTATAGCCCAGTGGATTCTTCTAGGGGATATAAGATCTTTTCGGAGATGCTCCTCTTTAGTTGCTAGTTCCTGGCGCTCATTGGCATCGGTGATCTCTGTGCAACCTTGATAGTGCGCGTACATTAGTGCTCTTAGGGCTTCATCGCTGCCGTCAGTCCACTCTCCGTCGTCTCGTTTGAGCTGACCCTGAATGGTGGTTTGCTTTGAAAGCAACTTCCGGAGCAGAAGTTTCCTTGCGCCCTGCGCATTTCCTTCTTGTACTCCCTTAACAGGATTTTGTATTTCTCATTAATTATATCCTCCTTCGCCTACGTGGCGATTTGAATAATTCTCTGAGGTTATTGCGTTGCAGCGAAAGGTCCCTGTTCCACCAGGGGGGTGTGGTCCTTTTCTTGATTCTTGATATCGGCCATGATGCGTGGAGAGGGTCCCTAAGGACTTTTCTATATCTTCCTCGAATTTTACTGTGCCCGATTGATTTTTTTTTTCGTTTTAACTTTTTCCAGTTAGTACTTCGTGGGTTTCTTAAGACTTAAATATGGAGAGTGATCGAATTCGTATTGGAACTGTATGTTCTTATGGTCTCTCAAGGACTTTCTAATCTGATACCATAGTACTTTTTTCCCGATACGAGTGTTATGTTTAGCACGTTGGACGAGGTGGCAAAGGTGTGTTCCTCCCCCACGTTTGCAATATGGGCAATTCTCCAGAAAGTTCCAACTCAGCCAAAAACTTAAAATTTCTTAAAAACGAGTATTTTTAAAATGGTTAGATAAAATATTGGCCAGATTGATCAAGACTAAGAGAATTTTTCATTTTTTTAAATAAATTTCGAAATAATCGATGTTTAACACGCGTAAACGCAATTTATATTATACCCTTGAAGGCTATTATAATTTCAGTCAGAAGTTTGCAACGCACTAAAGGAGGCACCTCCGACTATATAAAATATATATATTCTTAATCAGGATCAACAGCCGAGTCGGTCTAGCCATGTCCGTCTGTCCGTTTCTATCTAACTATCTCGTATATATGTCGGAACGGGACGGATCGGACGACTATAACATAAAACTGTCATAGGAATGATCGGAAAATTTTTACAAAAAAAACTATTACATTTTCAGTTTTCAAAAGATTTTCATCAAATTTGAGATATAGCCATTTCATATTATTCTAAAATGTTGTGTAAAATTTTATGAAAATCGGACGACTATATCATATAGGTTCCATACAAACGATCGTTAGATGTGGAACAAAAATTAAAAATCTGCGAATGTAAGACTGCAAATATAATATGTATAGGTGAATGAAATGAAAGCAGGTATTACTTCATTGTTCTTTAACATAAATATATATATAAATATATATATATATATAATTTATATATATATAATTTATATTGTATGGATTCCTAGTCATCGAAGTTATATTTGCAAGGGTATATAAACTTCGGCGTGCCGAAGTTAACTTCCTTTTTTGTTGTTTTTTCACATTTGTGAATAAGCATGTACTGAGATCTTTTAAAATCAGTGGAGTTAATTTATGTTATTAGAGAATAACTAAAGATGTCTATGATTTCATGACTAATAGTACATATTTCCATTGGTTTGCATTCCTATTATTATCTTTATCTATATTTCAAGTATTTTGTCATGTACACATCGAATGCACATACTCTGTGGTATGCATTATTCAAATACGTTGCAATAATTAAATTAGAATATTCCCAAGCCTATCCCAAGTGTGGAGTCAATTGACCACCCATGCAGGTTTAGTATGTCTGCATGCTCTATCACAAAGTGAACATGATACACTCTTCCTCTCGTAGCGACGCTATCGCCGCTCCTCATAAATAACATGTAATGATCGATTGCTCCGCTGCCGGCCAAAAACGGTTCGTACCAAATGAATGGTTTTAATAATACAACATAATTTTCTTCTAATACACCATCGATATTATCCATCAATATCACCAAAAGGTTTTGGTGATGCGATTATGGTCACATCTATTTAGAAAGTAAACAATAACAATGGTTGCAATTGTCCTCATCGAAATACTTCTACACTTTTTGTTCAATTACAATTTTTTTTTTTTTTTTAATTCTGCATTTTTCCAATTTCTAGTTTAGGTCTGTACCAAAAGAAATTATTTGATTTTTTAATTTCAAATGATTCTTTTTCCCTAGGGGTCACTGGAAATGACGTCTCAATGGCTGACTGCATATTTTTTTCGGAAATGCATAAAATA